ATGATGAGGGGACTGAAGCATCTCTCTTAACGAGGAGAGGCTGAGGGAACTGGGTCTGTTCAGCCTGGAGAAGAGAAGAATGAGAGGGGATCTAGTCAATGCTTATAAATACCTTGAAGGTGGGTTTCAAGAGGGTGGGGCCAGACTCTTTTCAGTGGTGCCCAGCGACAGGTTAAGGGGCAACGAGCACGAACTGAAACTCAGGAAGTTCCATCTAAACATGAAGAAAAACTTCTGTACTTTGAGGATGACAGAGCACTGGCACAGACTGCCCAGAGAGGTTGTGAGGTTTCCTTCTCTGGAGATATTCAAAACTCACCTGGATGTGATCCTGTGCAACTTTGCTGTAGGTGACCCTGCTTTGGCAGGGGGGTTGGACTGGATGATCTCCAGAGGTCCCTTCCAACCCTGAGGATTCTGTGATAATCTGTTAAAACTGACTGCAAAGCCTGTACTGCTTTTCTGCATCATTCCAAAATAATTCTAATTCAAGTCTTGATATCTGATGCACAAATGTAGCCAGAAATAGGTTGACCTCAGTACAAAGACAGAGCAAAAAGTACAATTTATACCTTGAAAAGATACTCTGTTAATGAACTATTAACTCTATAGAATCTCTGGACAAGTGGGAGCGTCTCACTGTAGCTGATGCGTTGGAACCGGTACAGTTTGAGGATGGGCAAAAGATTGTGGTCCAGGGAGAGCCAGGAGATGAGTTCTTCATTATCTTGGAGGTAAGTAAAGTGAAAATTAAAAGCTCAGAACTTTACTACTTCTTCTTAACATGGCTTATTCTGTCCCTAAATAGACACTTGGAAAAAAACAAAATGTAAGAATGTACTTGTAGAGAATTCCTGAAGGAATATAATCTTGCTGGACATGCAGAAGCTTATATTTAGTTTTGCTATTTTTACAAATATTACTTCAGGAAAAAAGTAACAAGTTTCTAGCTGAAACCAGTTTATCTTTTTCAGAAGAGTAGAGACCTGTTCTAGATAGCTAGTAATGTTGTGCTGGTGGTATCATTGTCTTCTCTCTGGGTTTTTTTGGGTGTGGGGTTTTTTTTTACTAGTCATACTGTAATATTCTTACTGTTTTGAGGAAAAACACGAAGAAGTCAGTGCTGCAGATATGCAAATACTCGACATTTTATGCTTAGAAAGGAGGAGGGACCAACTGTTTTTATAGAGTGGTCTGGTGAACTGTGCCAGAACTGTGAAGTGGCTTTTAGCCTGAGACGTCTTAACAGTTATTTCTGCAAAGGAGCTGATTCCGTGTGGAATTCAATGTTTCAAGTAATGCTGGAAACTCCAGTTGTTTATTTGCTGTGATTTATTAAAGGGCACAGCTGCAGTGTTACAACGTCGATCAGAAAATGAAGAATTTGTTGAAGTGGGCAGACTGGCACCTTCTGATTATTTTGGTGAGTTACGTAGTGACAACTGTGATTACATACACCGCTGTCACCATTTTACCTGTGCTGTGTGGATGACTGCTGTGGATGATAGTGATGGGATGGATTTGCTAATTACTGTTTTGGCAACTCTTGTGGTTTCACTCAATGTCAGGTGAGTATCAGAGTCACCTGGCATTCAGATGTCCATGCATATCACAGAAATGTGGTTGCTCTTGAGTACTTTAATTTAGAAGAGGCCTGGTGGTGATTTGATCTGACCTCCCTACCGTGGGCAGAGCTAACTTTGAAATTGCACCATATTGCGCAGGGCTGTGTCCAGTTGAGCCTCTTCTGTCTCCAGGGATGGCGATCTCACAACCTCTCTGGGCAATTTCTTTCACGGTTTAACCAGCCTTGTTGTGAAGAACTTTTTTTTTCTTTATGCCTGACATGAATTTCCTGTTTTGCAACTTGTTGCTTTCTCTCTGCCTTTCCCTGTGCAGAGAGCACTCTAGTTTTGTCTTTATAATCACTCCTTACATAGCTGAAGGCAGCAATAAGATTCCCTCCTTAGCCTTGTTTTCTGCAGGTCAGACTAACCCAGCTCTTTCAGCATCTCTTTGTACCTCCTGTGCTGTACTCCCCTAACCGTCTGGGTGGCACTGCTGGACTTGCTCTGCTTTGTCAGCATCTTGTACTGGGGACCTCAAAACTGTGTGGTACTCGGGATGTGGTCTCCCAAGTGTCGATCAGGGTCTCTTCTCCTTCTGTTGAAGGTGTTCTTACTCAGTTAAAAGTTACATGGTATGTAAGTTGCTTTGGCTTGAAAAAACTTATGTATGCTGGCAAAGAAAAAGGCCAGGATCCTGTTATAAATACTGACTTGTGAAGACTTTGAAATAATCTTCGCATGAAGCTAGTCACTTGTCTAGTGCATGTTGATTTTTTTTTTTTTTTTTGGATCACAGGTAAGGACTGGATGTGTATGCTTGCAGAGCATTCTTGGAGTATAATGTAACAGTATATAACAGGATATTCCTGGTGGCCTTATTTTGGTTCAGAAGATAAGTGGCTTGCAGTTCTGAAACAAAGCAAGCAACCTGTTCAGAACCTACTATTTAATGTTTAAGTACTTCCCCCACTCTTTCTGGTGGTGAGGGAGAAAGCCTGACTTTTTTTCTCATGTTTAAAGTAGATCCTCTCTCCTTATTATTCTTTCTAAGCAGTCCTCTTGCTAAAGCCTTCAGTTTTTCCTCTTTGTAGATGATGCAATCAACAAATACTCTGTTGCAGGGCATGAAGTGGGATGTACTCAAGAGTGCACTAATAGTACTGGATCTGACCAAAGGTCTGCTTAGCTCAGTGTCTAGTACTAGATTTTTGTTCTATGTATGTAATTTCAGTCTCTTCTAATATTTCCCTTGATGTGTACTCTTGAGTTTCCCACTCTTGAAGTAAATGATATCTTTACCATTGTGTTCGTGTGCTGCAGATCTATCCCCCAGGGGCTTAACTCTCCCTTAGGCTTGCAAAAGAATAAGTAGGTTCTGTGTTTTGGAGGCTAGCGAGTTAAAGAGTTTTAGTTGGGCACAGAGGAAAGGTTTTTTCTCATTTCTTTTGAACATCCCTTCTGATAATGCAGCCAGTCTTACTCTTCAAGAAGCACTGAGTTCTTTCCTCAGTTCTGAATGTGGAGGTAACCAGCACAACTACTTAAAACCAAACCAACCCAAAAGTTGATGCTGTGGTTTCTTTTATGCTTGTTGCTAGAAATGTTTGGGGTAGGTGTTATCACCAGTGGAAACAGGGGCTTGTTGAAAACTTCATTTCCAGATATGTTGTTTAGCAGTTGTAACAGGTATTTGAAACAAAGTTTTGGCATGTGTGTAAGTTATGAAATGGGAATCCAATGGGACTTCAAGATACTCATCTTCCACAGCCCCATGGCAAAGTCAGATGCTTGATTCTGGCTAGCTATGGGTCAAGGGCTTCTGTCATTAATGTGTTTTTTTTTTACTTCAATACCATGGTTGTCTTGTCCTGAGTTTCCTAGAAATATCAGAATTGAATAGCAGCATACCTTACATATCAGAAAAATAACTACTTGTTGACTAGGAAAATTACGTGGTTAATTGAAACATGACCTTTTCTCAGATAGAACCAGTATTGAAAATTCTTTAGGCCTTCTTAAATGTGGACAGGCTTTTTAATAAAAAAATCAGGTCTTTTTTTAAACTGCCTTCACAGTTGCTTCTAATGTAACTGCATAGATACTTGTTCTGATCAGTGTTAAAACCTGAATTACCTTCTGTTCAATTCCTGCAGCAGCTTGAAATACAACAGGGTAATTTCTTTGGCTCTTTTGCATGTTGATTTTTAACACTGTTCACACTTTCCTGTTGCCCTAGGTGAAATAGCTCTGTTGATGAACCGTCCCCGTGCTGCCACAGTTGTTGCTCGTGGCCTGTTGAAATGTGTAAAGCTTGATCGACCCCGATTTGAACGTGTCCTGGGTCCGTGCTCGGATATTCTCAAGCGAAACATCCAGCAGTACAACAGTTTTGTATCGCTGTCTGTCTGAAACCTTCCTCCCTATCCAAAACATGCTTCACGAATGCAGACTGCTTTATTACCCTTGTGCAGAGCCACATTGCCACTGGCATTTGCAGCTTCCTGTCTGTTTAAAAAAAGAAAAAAAAAAATTGCTTATCATGGCACTATTTTTAATTTTAGAGCATATTAATTCTGTGCTCTCTGTCCCATTAAATTAATAGAAAAAGTTCTGTGGAGATGTTTGCTCTTACGGCTTCTCTCTGTGCGACAGTGTCCAACTCGGGCAAATGCAGCCTTGCTGCAGGGAGGGAGAGATCTCCTGGCGCCATGCCAGTGGCCATAGAGTAAGGAGGTGACGGTGGGAGCGGAAATTCTTTTAATGGTGTTTATCAAATTGTTGGACAGATTAAGGCTGTGGTCATAATCTGCTGTATTTCTTTTGAAATGAGAACTGCCCTTGTAATTGAGCTTCTTGGGGCTAGGGGTTTTCTTTTTGTTTTTGTTTTTTTTTTAATTTTCTGCGTACTGTAATCCTGGGTTCAATCGTGAGGCATCAGCTGCTAAGAAAGCCACAGTTGGAATTTAACAGTATAATTGTTCCTGTGTCTGCTGGTTTAAGATTGCTTAGTTATGTTTTTGTCAAGTGTAAATCAAAGCTTTCAAGGTTAATAGTTCTGGTGAACTACTGCAGTTGTTACTTAATTTGCTGACTTGCCGCAACTGATTTTTTTCTCATTCTTTCTTCAGCGATAGATATGCCATTTAAAACTCTTCCTGTTCAAAGTGGCAAGAACCAAATGTTACATTAAATGCCTAACTTTGGTCTCTAGTACATACGTTGGTGTAAGAGTGGTGCAGCTGTCCAGCTGTTAGTAATGTTCAAGTACTTAGATTGGTGTAGAAATTGGAAGCAAACATTTTATTTTTCCCTGTGACTCTCGCTTGCTTTGTATTCCTCAGTTGACTTTTTAAAAACTGATCATCAGTTCAGGTGACCCTTTGTTACAGGGAAAGTAAGTGTTGAGTATTTATGGCCAGCATCAGTTGCAGGTGGCAAGATTGCTGGTCCATATAAATGCCATTATTCTTGGTAGAGAATGTGAGGCAGGAAAAGTGAATGTTTTCCTGCAACACTCAGTTATTTTAAGTTTTTTAAATTAGTCAATTAATTAACTTTAAAAGTGGTTAATTATAAGTCTAGTTTAAATACAAAAGGTGCATTCTCTTTCCTTGCTTACGGAATTTACATGACACATTTCATACTCACTCTTTTTTCCAAGTTCAATATGTTGCGGAGTCTTAAATGTATTTCAGTATTTACCAGCTTTGTGTTTCATTATTCTGTGCACATCAATACTTCCCAAAAGTTTTTACTGAATTCCACGGTTCAATAATGGTAGCCAATTTTTAAGGTTTCCTTTAAACTGTAATTTATATAAAGTAGCATAGGTTTGTATTTGGGAGTGACAGCAAGCAGTTTTGCATTTGTTGTGCAACTACTTCTAACGATGGAGCCCTCATTTTATTTCCTTTCTGAGGTGACAGGGATTCAAATTCAACAGACTTTCTCCCAGGCATGTAGATAATCAGAAAGGGTCTGCTAATTGATGCAAAATAATACTGAGGGTATCAAGCCTTTACAAAAGGTTTCAGGGTATTTCTGAACCTGAATCCCAATAATGGGATTTAACACTTGTGGTTTGAGTTCTCTATTTGGAAGATGTTGAGTAGAGGATTTCTGCCAGAGTCCTTAAGGACTAAGCAAATGCTACCTTTTTGGTTCGGGGTTTTGTTTGTTGTGTTTTTTTTTTTTTTTGTAACACTGTTTTCTTAAGTTTTGACTCTATCCAGGTTTTTTTTCTTCATATGTGTTCTTTATGTTACTTTAAAGCACCAAAAACTGTGTAAACTAGTTTCAGCTCCACAAAAAAATGCACATTTTTTTTATATAAGGCTTTCTAATCAAGTTTCACTACTGCATCTTTTTAGCTTGCTGTTTACTCCCTTTTGTAGTTTTACCTACAAGATTTTAAGATAAATCAGCTAAGTCTGAATTAAATATTAATCACAGTTATAGCTTTACCTTTGTGTGCAATTTAAATATGTTTGAAACCACAATTGGCATAGTTTTGCCTTAGCTAACATTCAGGGCTTTAGAAGTAATTTTTTGCTAGTCCACCTTTAGCGAATTTATGAAGTCTATTGCCCTAGAAAGCTATAGTCAACCAGAGGACCATTTTTGTATTGTTACCTGACAATATAAGTCTGATTTACTGTATGTGCTAATATATTATATTATATTCCTTTTGTTATAGATTGTCCTAATGGCAGGTAAAGCAATAAAATGATTTAAATTCTTAAATGCAATCAGTCTCTTTCTTTTTTCCCCCCC